AGCAACTTGCTAACGGTTTGGCTAGAACAAAATCTTTTTTTGCACCATTTTATTTAAGGTATTTATTTCACTCGCTGGGCCCACGTCCTCATTTGAGGCTTGACAGGGTTTTAGTAGGTAAAGGTGAATGGCTTGGACATGAACTGTGGTTTGGGGAAGGCCTCGAAGGGGACTGGCAGCGGCTCCCGGGCCTGGCAGATCCCCATGTACTAAGTAGAAGTGAAGACATTAAAGAATTGAAAATGGGAGGGAGGAAACGAGAACAAACAGCTTGTAGAACTGGGGGAACATATATAGATGAGAACCGGGAGGAGCGTGTTTGGAGGCGTGGTCCTGCTCCTGAAATTCAGATACTTTATCTCCAGTTGCTTGCATCACGCTTACTTGTGCTGTATAGTTTAACAGGAGGAGTGGCTTCTGTTGGAGCCAGACTCAGGTCTCTTCTTTAGCTTTATTTTTCCGCCCCTGAGCTCACGTTTAAAGTCCCTTCATTGTTTTTGAATGAATCAGCTGTGAACTTGTCAAAGGGGCTAGCAACGTCCCTTTCTTTGTAACTGCCAGTGCTTCATATACTGCCATATTGCAGACAGAAAAATGCACAACAGTCCTCCCACAGGTGTTATACTGGATAATTAATGTGGGATAAAATGCATTATGCTAGTAGACTTAACTTTTTTTCTCCTGAACAAGCAGCAGTTCCCCTTCTCCCCAAAAGGTATGCTGCTGATGCCAAGAGCTTTATTCAGGAGCTTGTAATCCTGCTTCAATCAGCTCCTTTTTCCTTTCCGTGTAAAGATAAGCCCAGCATTTACGGCCCTCATCGCACCCCCGCACCCTGCTCTAATTAATATGCAGCAGATAAGTACTTGTCTGACAAAATTCATTCATTTGACCTTCTAGGTTTTACACTAAACTGTTTTCCGCCACTGCAAGTTCACCGCAAGTTGAGAGTTCCCTGGAGTTTCTGCGGCTTTTGTTTCTCTCTGAGAGGTTTCATTTGGACACTCGCTCACTCTCTGTTTCTCTCTCTCGCACTCTCAAATTGTCTTCTGACTTTCTTTCAGTAGTCTCTGTTTCTTAATTGCCCCTAATTGCTTAATTACAATTTCAAATGAACAATTTTGGAGGTCAGAGCGGGTTGTTAATTGAAGCATCAATCACACTGGTGGGGCCTTCAGAACCGTCTCAGTTTGATTGGCAGGGCATTAGCTGAACATTGTATTAAGCATGGACATGACATTGTGGGGGTGCCATGGCTGTTACTGCCTCTTTTTTAGTGTCCTTCACAATATAGTGCGAAGGAGACCTTTGTAGCATGTGGCAACCATGTGGGTTTAGATTAGAGCATTGAAATGATAGAACTGAAGGTGATAGATCAATAGACAAGATAACTAACTCCCCCTGCTAACTAACAAACAGAAAGACAGACAAACAGAACCGATTACAGCTTCCTTCCTTTTGGGGAGAATAATATGTACACTATAAATCTAAGGAAAACAACGGCATGAAGGTATAATACAAAAATATGTGTGGGATCATATGCCTGACAGGTGTGTTCACCTGTCACAGAATGAAGAGTTATTACACAGCTTTATAGCGCTTATAGATTTATCAGGATTATCTGGTTGTCTCACTTTGTGAACATGAATATGTGAGTCAGGTAACTCAACTTCTCTCTTTACAGTGTTCCTGAAGCTCAGCTTTTTCTTCCATGAGTCTGTGGGCTCGCTTTCAGTCTCCAGAATAAATTGGCAAAAGGAATCTAGAAAAGGCAGTCAGTATACTTTGTGTAGTTTGGGGCATGGTTTGTTTTTTACTCTAAAATTAAGTTGCTGCAGATTAATAATCTCTACATGCATTACGTTATGTTGTTGAGGTCATGGGGGGAAAGGAGCCATCGCAGCTAGAGTGAGCCAATTCATCGCAAGGTTAACACACAGAAACGGACATCAATCCACACCCATGTCGATGTTTATACAGCCAGCTGTCAGATAAACTAACGTGTATGTGTTTGGGGTTTGGGAAGAGGCAGGATAACAATAACCCAACAACATTTAAGATGAATTCTTAGTTGATAAGATATTATTTTGTCTTCTGGCCTCAAGAGACATTGCCTAGAGTCAGCTGGCAGGCTGTTCACAGTGTTATTTATAATAGTTTTTGCATTTCTACATACATTTGATTAAAGTGTACACACACCTAAGGCTCACTGTTATTCCACACAGCCATGTAACACCCGTTTAACCTCTAATCTGCACCCAATCTACCATTTACCTGCTTGCCCGCCCTCCTCCAATCTAGCCGTTTCTACCTTCTCCTCCTCTTATTCCTCTCACTCCTCCCCCTCCACATATGGGGAGAGCCAGGAGATTATTAGGCTGGTTTCCCCGGCTTTGCCTGGCACACCTTGAGCTTCCTTTCCTGCTCTCTCCCTTTCTGTACTTTCTCCATCTTCCTCCTGATTTGCTTTTGAATTCTTTGCCCTCGCTCTTTTATTTTTACCTTTTATTTTACTTTAAACATACATATGCATGTACATATACTTAATACACGTCTCCCTCCGCCTCCCTCCCACCACCACCACCGCTGCTCAGTTGGCTGCATTTACCTTCGTTCCATCTTGCTCTTTTTTTTGTTTGTTTTGTTTTTCTCTTGTTTCTCCCTTCCTCTCCCCACGCTCCCCCTACCCCACCCAACCCTACCCTCTCCTGCTGCTGTTCCTCTCCTCTGGGGCTCCATCCATCAGGTTGTCGAGGGCTGCTAGCGGCCGACTCCCAGCCACCATATTTCACCGCCAGCCAGCCAAGCAGCTGACAGCACAGCCACCGCCAGGAAATTGCTTTGGCTGTGAGCGGAATTTCAAACACAGGCACACTGCGTCGCTTGGGCCGCCCAAGCACTGCTTCCCTCTCTCTCTCTCTAGTCTCTCTCCTGCCAATCTCCCTACACACATCTCTATGTCTCTCTCTATCTCTTTCTGTCTTTCTCTCATTTTCGCCCTCTCTCTGTTCATCTTTATATACTTATTCTCTCCTTTTCTCTCTCTTTCCACCCCCATCTCTGTGCTTTTCTGTTTTCCCACCGCTGCCCGACTGTCTCTCCACACACTCACACATACGCACAGCCATGCGCATTGTTTTCCTTATATGCCTTTTGTCCATCTTTGCTGTTCCCTTCTCCTTTTGGGTTTTCCTACCTCCATCCTTCCCTTCTTCGACTCCTCATTCACTCCATACCCTCTTCTCTCCTTTTCCATCCTTTCATTCTTCCATCCCTCCTCCTCTTTACGACCCACAGGGGAACAAGGTGTGGTAGGGAATCGTTAATGAGCCGAGTGGGAAGGAGGGAGGGGAAGAGATAAAGAAGGAAAAGAAGCAGAATGAAAGGATAAAAGTAGGAAAAGGGGAACAATGTGATAAGATAGAGGAGGGAGAGAGGAGGGATGGCGCTGGCGGGTGTTGCTCTGGAGTTAAGGGTCTGTGTGTGGGGGTGGGGGGGGTTGTGTGAGGGCTTGTGTGCTTGCCCTTGTCAGAACCAGTGTAAGACTGCTGAAGTGAGAAGGTTTTAGCCAAGTGAGGTCATATTTGCCAGTCCTCTCACCACACCTTGTTTCGCTTTAGGATTCCAGTTCAGGAATTATAATCTCAGTGTGAGATAAAAGCAGGTCTGTGTTTATTTTGAATTGTATATAGTTAAATTACGCAGCATGTTGTCATTTATTGAGAGAAATGCAAAAACCAGATAAACCGCTACTGCCAGATAATACTATAAATACTACCATCCACATTTTGAGTGATGCTTTGACAATTAGTGTGTACTAGTGTGTCTTAATAACTTGAAATGGCACAAGAAAGAAAATCTGCAAGTCAGTCACAGCTGTAGAAAACAAAGGTTTGAATGTGGAAAGAAGAAAAAATCGAATACTTTTACAATAATTATATACTTTAATGTTTCCAGGAGCCATCTAACTATTGTTCTCAGTTTGTAGACAATCACACCCATTAGCAGTGCTTTCAGAAATAGAGTGAATTTACTCTTTGTGTCACACTCAATTATTTTTCTGTGTGAACTTCATGTTGTCACGTGTTTTAATTAAACGCCATTTGAATTAGTGTGACTGCACTTCTTTAAATTGGCTGTTCTGATCTGCACTCTGATTGTTGACTCAAAAAAAAATCAAATCTTGTGACGTTGCACAAATCATGTTAAATCTTTCAAACTGGAATGTTGTGATTCTCACAGCTGGTAGGTAGAGTCGGTGTTTGTGGGAGGCATCTGGAGTAATACTCATGTATGATGATGGTCCTGCATCTTGTCATATTATAGCAAAGGTTGTAGCTGGAGGTCAGAAAAATATGTCATTTATTTGTATCATAAGATAAAAGTCTCTCTCTCTCAAACTCTGTGTGTGTGTGTGTGTGTGTGTGTGTGTGTGTGTGTGTGTGTGTGTGTGTGTGTGTGTGTGTGTGTGTGTGTGTGTGTGTGTGTGTGTGTGTAGACTGAGTGATAGCAGAGTCAAGCTGGAGAAACAGATCTTATCAAATCCATTTTACACAGAGTGTACTAGAGAGAAAAGACATTACACTCTCAATATGAAGTCGGTATTAACCTGATAAATACATTTGGTGTGCGTGATGAATCTGCGACGTCCACCTGAGCGTGTGTATTTTCACGATATTGCTCTTGGCTCACCCGACCATGTGTACTGAAACCGTGCCCTTCAGCAGGACAGCCTGATGGAAGTTATGTGTGGGTGGTTGGCTCCTTTTAGGTATCAGCGTATTTTCGGTGTCTGGAGGGTTTTGTTGTCATCCCATGGGTGAAAGCCTCTCTCCGGCGAAGTATCCCCAGAGCCGAGAGAGGACTTTCCTTACTCCCAGTGGAGAATCTCTGATGTGGAGTGTTGCTCACTGACAGAAAAGTATCCCGGCTAACCTGATGTTTTTTATCATCTGTCTGTTTCCCTGTCCCTCTGTTCTCTTTCTCTTTTCCTCCATCAGAGAGTCAGTTTGGAGTTCTACATTGATGTTCATGCCCACTCCACTATGCTGAACGGCTTTATGTATGGCAACGTGTTTGAGGACGAGGAGCGCGTCCAGAGACAGGCTGTCTTCCCCCGACTGCTGTGCCAAAACGCGCCAGACTTCTCCTTTGTAAGTGATACAGACAGACAAGTGGGCTCGGGACCAAAATTACACCAACTTCGGCCTTCGGGTTAGCTTGAAATGAGAACATGAAATAGTCATATCTCAGCAAATTCTGGCAATGCTGTGTTCACCGAGGCACTTAATTGCCAACTGCTGCAACCTTAGTGGCAGTCAGTTGAGAACTTACGTAGCTTGCAATGGGTACCTTTCCGTTTTTACTGCATGCCTTTGAGGTAAGATGTTGATTTTAAATAAAAACACCTGCTTGGTTTTAGGTGAGAGGAAAATACAGACTACACACATATTAATTAAGAGTGTGCTTTGTGCCCAGCAGTCACGAGCAAAAATATGAAAATATCCTCTGTATTTTCGCCTGCGTAGAGGATTTACTGGCAGGGGAAATCCACAAGAATTGCAGTAATTTTTTTAAATGTTGTGTTATACGAGGTTTCAGTGCCTCAAGCAAAACAGACTTTCGTTTTAATCAGAAACGGTCAGAAATCTATTTAGATTTCAGTCAAATGGGATAATGCAAATTTGCTGCCTTTACTGAACAGAGTCGTACGCAGACCCACTCTGAGCATAGATCGTACAAATGCATGCATTCCAGAAACGATTTTCACCTTGTCCAAGGATTAGAGGAAGGGTGAAGGGAAGGGGAGCAAAAAGAGGGAACGCTGAAGCATAAGGATTACGAGAACAACAGCTGGAATGCTTTTTTGCATAGCGTTCGGGTTTCCTGGAGTCCTAAAGAAGTAAAATCTAAAAAGGATTCTCAATTGTGTAAAAATGCATATACTCATAATGGTGAATGTGCATTTATGTTGTATCCAAGCACAGAAAACAAGCAGAAGGTCATGACGAAGCACAGGACTGTAAGTAGGCCAGGAGACTCTGTGTGAGTGACGCAGGTGTTCTGCTAAAGCGCCCTCCTAGGTGGCTAAAACTGAGTTTATTTTGGACGGGAAGGATTGTGCAAACCGAAGGGGGTGAGGAGGAGAAACAAAGGACAACAGCAAAAAAGAACAGAAGGGCACGTGGGTGGAAATATTCACTCAGTGACTGTGACGCTCCTCCACCCTGCTACACGTGCAGAACCTTATAACACCTTTTCATACAGATACATTATCCGCCAAGCTGGTTCGTCTCAGCCCCGGGTCCCTTCCACTGACCTTCGTTCTCTCGGTGACAGTGACATTTCATAGCAGATCCACTTACACACATCATAAAGAATAACCTTTATTGCCCATTGACACATAGGGAAGCCAGACAGGCAGATGTTCAGCCACACACGTATGGAAATGTCACTTATTGTCAGCGTCTATACTCTATGCCGCATTACGAAGGACAAGTACGACGCTATTTCTGGAGAACTTCTCTCGTTTCTCTGTATTGCTTGTGTGACAGCTGGCCCAGGGGTCATCTCCCTCACTGTGCTTTTGTCCCTGTGCCCATTCAGCACTACCTAAAACCCAGTGCAGCAGCAGCAGCAGCACAACACAATCATGGCAAACTCCCACTGGTGGCAGCCAAGTCTGCATTTCAGCAAGGCAACTCTCAGTGCACCAGAGTGGAGTGACAGTGAATGGAAACTTTTTTTTTCTATGCACTCCTCCCAAGACGGCATCATAGCCGTGTAGTATAGCTGACAAGCTCAGAACTAAAAATAAATGTAATTTTTCCCCTGCTTTAGCCATTTACAGCCAATCTTTGAAATGACATTGTACAAAACTACTTCAAAGAACTTCCGAGGCACAAACACGTTTTCACTGAAGATACTAATCACAGCAGCTTTTTAAAAAAAAATTCTTTCATTGGTTACTTTAGAGTAGATATGACTCAATCAAGATCTATATCTATGTAAGAAGTGGACTAACCCAACTTCTGTTCTACAAGGACATACCGCATTCACTAAGTAAAGAAATCACTAATAATAAAAGTAGTGATATCAGTGAGACCTCCACTAGCTGGAATGGTATCCAGTATAAAAATCTGACAAATCAGACATCTACCCACTGTGGCGACCCCTTGTAGCAAGGGAGCAGCTGAACGTAGGAATATCATTGTCCAGTAGACACGTTCCTTTGGATGTTTGGATAGCTGAATGAATAACAGAATGCCAGCCTGAAAGTGATCCACCTATCATCTCACATTTGCGGAACTGCGACCTGGCCAGCCAATGGAGGCGCTGGCCCAAATGGTGGCACGCAGAGGGAGCAGGCGGCAGTGTTTCGGCCCGAGTGCCGGATGCAGCTAATACAAAATCTGGCAGCTCGGCTCGGGTCCTGGTCGATACCGTCACAGCCGCCCCCACTGACGTTCCTCGACTTCATGAGAGTAGCTGATGTCCGGTTTGCTCCGTGCTGACTCCTGGGGTGAGGCCAGCCAGGACACAGCCTACCTCCACACCCATACCCACTCTGCAGGTGGGAGCAGCTGGTGCCAGAATCCCACCCCCAACCCCTCCCGGAAATTACGCCCCTGTCGTGCTCAGCCACCTGCTCTGCCGGAGCTGGGGGTCGTGGCGCCGGAGGGGCATGCTCTGTCTGAGCCGGCGGACAGCGAGCCAGGGATTCTGCACAGCTGGAGACAGGGGAAAGTGCGGAAGGGACCTGCCCTGGCCGAGTCGAGGGTCTGCGCACCAGCTGGACCTGCCTCGCTTCCACCAGAGGCCAACGCCGGCTGCCTGCCAAGTCGCCTGTAAGCCTTGGCTCACGTCCGCATCTGCTGCACCACCACCGCTTGCCACGCGGTCAGCCTGCAGACCAGCTCCGTTGCCTCCGCTGGAAACGCGGTCGGCACCCGGGTCTAACACATCCCTGCCGCTAGACCATGGGCCGAAGATGCCGACAGTCGTGGCTGATTCCCTCTCCTACTCGCAGTAGGTTCGGCCGGATGGCTCCCCGGCCTCAGTCGGGTGATGGGGGTATGTGGCGGGGCGTGGTCTGTGGCGCCGCTGCGGTGAGGCTGACACCGACTAAAGCGGCATCAGCAATTACACCTCACCTGCATTGAAGAAGAATGAACTAGCTCCTGTTGTTGTTGGTGGTGTTTGTATGGGGCTGACAGCTGAAAAGCAGCAGCCGTGAGTTGTAGAGACATCAACCGGGAAATAAAGTGTTTGAAAGTGCGAATATGTGGTTGGGTCTGTCATGGGTTTGTTACAGCCATTCAACCACTTCACATGATTTTTATTTGATTTTCATTTATGGAAGGCTAACCTAAGGTGTTAGTAATACTTTTTATGTAGCCGGAAAAGTTGCAATGTGCCACAGTTCAGGCTGTTTGCGCTGAATGTCCTCCCTCAGACTTCTGTTAGTATTATTAACACTCTGTAGGAGATTTAATGCGCACTGTTGGGAAACAAAGCACACTCCTCTGCTCCTGACCTGATGCCCTGCCTTGTTTTTGCACTCTTCAGCATTGAGCAGCTGAAATCAGTTTTAACTGGAAACCTGCTTTCACCATCAGAGATGATCTTCGACATGAAGGTGTCATGGTCCTGGGTCTATTTTCGGGTTTTTGGACTTTCCAGTTTAGTTTATATCAGTATTACGAGATTCCAGGTGTGCTTAGTGTTTGTGTTACTTCTTGTATTTGTTCCTGTTATTGAATTTAGTCTTGTTCTTTGTGCTTTGCTTTTAGTTTTGCTTCCTGCGTCTTGTTTCCCGTGATTTAGTTCACCTGTGTCTCGTTCTCCCCAGCTCTTCCACTCCCATAATCCCTCTTCTGTGTAAATATAGTTCCCATCTTCCCCTTTGTCTTTGTCAGAGTGTCACTTCACGTTCTTCTCATGTATTCCAGCTCCTGGACACTAGATTTACTTCTCACTTGAGGTTTGCTCTTGTACCCCATTTAGTATTTTCACCACCACTTTAATAAACGGCTTGATTTTAGTTAAACACACTCTGCCTCTTCGTGTCTGCAAGAGAAGTTTGCATTCATGTTTTGTGGACATTTAGGAACTGAGGTGAAATTTAAGATGTAGAAATAGTTAACTTGCAAGCACAAGCTTATTTCTACATAAAGCAGACTTGGTAAAACATTAGTGTTTATTTTCTGATTCATTAAAGGTTTGGGGTGTGCGATTCTTCAACAGAATGTAAGGAATTAACTGTGATGAAGTTATGCCAGAGATGTCCAATATGTTTTGTGCTGCAGAGCTATCTACTGAATTACGCTAACCAGCTAGCCTCATCTCATCTTCTCATCTCATACCACTTTGAGATAATGTTGAGATGGTAAACCACTAACATCCAGTTTGTCCTCGCTCCAAGAGAGGAAGAAATTGTGCTGCCCAGAGAGTTGCATAACTAGGATTGTTTTTAGCCTAACACTAGTTGCGTGCTTCAAACACTTCCTGAAACAGTCACACCAGGCAATGCAGGGAACTTGAATCCTCTGCATGGTTTCTCTAGCCAGTCATTGTGCTGTGTGTTGTGATTTTCTTTTGATAATTTCTAAGCTGTAGCCGTGTTTGGTTAAAACAGAACCTCTAAGGATCCATCAGAAACAACAGAGATGTACTCCACTTTTCAGAAACTGGTGACAGCAAACCAAAAACCAGCACATTGGACTGGAAGAAGGTGTCTGTCCATTCAGGCTTTTGAAAATAGTGTGACTACTTGGTCTCATGTCATACACCTCTTCTTTCCAGATTAGGTTTTCTGGGACTTTGGGAAACATATTGTAGTAGAATTCTGTAGTTTTTATACTATTTGTTGCATTACAGACTTAATGCAACAAATGCTATAACATTCTCCAGACTCCAGCATCTCTGCTGACATAAAGACTTGAATCTAAACCTTTAATGTATCTCAGTTTTTTTCCATCTGTTTCTCTAGTCCAACACTTCCTTTAACCGTGACGTGGTGAAGGCCGGTACCGGTAGGCGTTTCCTTGGCGGTCTTCTCGACGACACGTCCTACTGCTACACTCTCGAGGTGTCCTTCTACAGCTACATGACAGCTGGCAGCACTGCTCCTGTTCCCTACACTGAGGAGACCTGTATCCTTCACTGTGTGTGATCTCTCCATCTTTAAAGTGAAGAGACCAGCAGTAATGTTCTCCCTTCATTTCTCCTCTTCCAAAACACACCAAACAAGCACTGTTTCCGCAGCAACAATCTCCCACTGAAATCAAGCCAACTGATCTTGTAATCACTGGAGTCATTATTTTAATGTTTGTGTTTTGAGCGTTAGCGCATGTGTGTGTGTGTGTGTGTGTCAGGTCATGTGTACTCACTAGAAAAGCATGTTGATCTTTTGTTGCCTCTTCTTGCGACAGATGTGCAGTGACAGAATAGGGATGTGATAGCTGTGTCTATTGATTTCATTTACAAAAGAGAGAGGAGAAAAAGGGGCTTGTGTTGGCATATTTAGCGCTGCGCTTGTGTGTGCGCAGACGGAGCGACGGTTTCTGTAAAACAGCGAAACAAACGGGATCCCTGTCGGCTACAATCATGAGCGCAGCCTTACATTTATCACGGAGACTGAAGGTCACAGGTGTCTTAATGGAGGCGGATGGGAGGAAGTTTTCCTTCGGCTGACCTTCTCAGGGCTGAAGAGCTCCTGAAAGCTGGCCGATGGGGGTTTGATCTTACCGATAGAGTGAGTGAGAAGAGGGAGAAAGAGAGATTTAGAGAGTGAGATAAGGACCCTACATATGAAAAGTATGTGCTCCCCTGCACATACTCCACAGGCGAAGGGGTGGGTGGATATAGATGCAGCCCTAGTGCCCTCTAGTGCCAATAACTAGCAAAATCTGCCTCGCCAAAAGAAGAGGCAAGTCACGATTCATTAACACATGGAAAGTTAGATATAGGAAGATCAGTTTTACATATGCATCACTACTAGTCTTTATGGTAATGTTGTTTTTTGGTTTTTAAGTGACAGACGAGAGGCTGAATAAAAACAAGTCTTCTCTTCCTGCTTATAGAGGCTAAAAAAATGCATATTGTGATGTTGCATGTGTGTTTTCCACAAAGGTTTATGACTTTAATGCTTTTGATAGAAACATCTCAGCTCGTTGCATTGCACACATGGAAGAACCAGCATGTGTACGCACATAGAGCAGCCACAGAAAAAAATATGGTAATACACGGAAGAGACAAGTGTCTGGCTGTTATGCTAAACAAAATGCACATAACAAATTCCACTCTGTGTTTTCGTTTGAGGTGGCGGCGGCGCTGGGTTCAGAGCCTGTTCTGTTTGTGTGTGTCTGTGTGCATTTATTCTGAAGGTCAATTTATGAGAGAACCCACGTCTGTTGGGAGGACTTTTTTCTTTGTTTTCCAAATGTGTGTGTGTGTGTGTGTGATGTAGGTTGTGAAAAGTGAGGGTTCCGAAGAGGAGGAGCTCCACAGGGTGGGTACACAGCACAGGGACCTGGTGTAGAGTGGAGATTGAGGTCAGGCAGGTTGAAGAAACCGACCATGTAAGTTTTTATGCCCCAGCAGTCAGCTCGATGGAGCGTGCAAATCATCAACAGAGACCTTTAGCATCTCCCCCCCCACCCACCCACCACTCCTCCCCTTTCTTGTTTCTCACCTGACACAAACACACACACACACACACACGCACAATCCACTAAACTAATACATGACAAATAAATAATAACCTAGGCCCCTAACTCCTACCACCTTCCAAAAATGCTGCCCACGCCCTTTCATTTTTCCTGACTCTCCTCCACTGCTGTGACTTGTAGCCACCAAAATTGAAATCTTAACCTTTCACACAGCCGAGGCTTTTGTCACAGTTTGAAGGTGCTCAGAAAACAGCGTAATTCAATGTGTGTGTCTGTCTGAGTTTGTTTTTTGATTCCTCCTCTCCTTTCGTGCGTCTCCTCTATTCTGTCCTTTCCTCTCATCTCATCACCCAGAACATAACAGCTCATTATATCATCTAGTCAAGCTGAGAATCCTCTTCTCTGAAACAGCAGGGACAACCTCTATTGTGTGTCTGTCTTCTCTTTGTCCTCTAATCATTTAACACCTGTGAGCCGGTTTCCATGTGTGCATGCTCATACCTCCTCTAGCACCTATATTTTCTTTATGCTTGCATGCTCTTCTTGCAGCCACTTCCATCAAAGTAAATACCACACAGCAAACTCACAGTAAAAATATTTTAGCCTTGTTTATTGTCTGCACTTTCTTCTTTCTTTTTAAAAAAAAGTAAAACTGCATTTTTTGCAGTTTTTCTGAGGGACCTTCCGGTTCACACCGTGGAAGTTCAGCTGGAAGGGAAAGGGGATGAAGGTTGAGATAAACTGGGATCTTGTTCAAAACTCTGCGTGATGCTTTCTGTTGTGGGTTTGTGTGCGTGTGTAACATAGCCAGTGTGTTTTTCTTTTTGTGTAAGCTTTGGGAGCCTACTTACCTTGTGTGTGCGTGTGTTCTTTTTCCTGTTTTATCTGAGCAACAGTGATCTCTTTGACTTTGAAGAACTAGTTCAAAATTTCTAAAGCCATTAAGAATTTGCTTCCCTGGAAGATTTTGCACTTGTTTTTCCTGTTTTGAAGGGAGCGTCGTTGCTTCTTCTGTCATAATAGAGTCAGGGGTTTTTTTTAATTGTTGTTGTTGTTTTTTAAAGGAGCAATGCACTTTTCTTTTGTGTTCTCTTTCTGCAAGTTTTTTTTCCTTCAGTGGCGAGATATATACAAAGAAAATGGCATTCTTCTCATCAAAGGTGGTCACTCCTGATTTAATCAAGCAACAATGTTTGGGTCTTTATTCACAGCAGTAGGTTAGATGCACTGATACAGCATGGATTGACAGCCAAGACAGTTGGCTTTGACATAAATAAAGCTACATATCTGCACACTCTCAAACACATGTGCATACGCACATAGACAAATAGGTGCTCCTCTTTATCTTCATGCGTATGTGATGTCTGTCTGCCAAAGCAACAGCACTCGACAGGCACCTCACCATAACAGTGGGACTCCATGAATACCAGAGCTGCCAATGGAACACAGTATGCATCAGTGAACCTGACACCCAATGGACAGGCTGTGACAAGTATGCAAATGATATAGCTTGGAGGCAAATATGCTTCACTACCACACATCATCCACATCACATCACACAGATACGCGCAAATGGATAGGTGCTCACATATGCAAGACACCCGCATCTACACACACAGTTGATTGCACAAATCTGGTTGCCATGCTCAGATGAACAGGTGTCCTCATATGAGTACTCACAAAGATGCACAAACACATATGTACATCACCGGTGGTGTTTTTCTTTTTTCTTTTACATATGTTGATAAGGCTGGAAAGCCTAAGAAAGTTTGCAGATATTATTCGCTCTAGAAAATGCAACATTTCTGCTTTAAAAAAACTTTTGAAGTACTAAAAGAAGTTCAATTTCAGTTCAGGTTCAAATACTGAGAGGAATCAAGAGCTTCAAAATACAGTGGAGCTGGAAAAGTCAGCTGACGTGCAGCTAAAGTGCTGGAGATAAAGGCACTGACATTAAATTTCAAATGTAAGAGCAACAGAAATCAGTCGAAATGAACTGAGAAGCCACAGAATCCACTGTTAACATGTGTTTGAAAATTTCTTAAGCCTTTGATTTAAGTCCTGAAAGTAAATAAGGAGAATGCTAAAGAAAGGAGACAGAGAATAATGGACTTGGCCATATATTTGTTTTGGAAAATAATTAAGTGTTTAACAAGGAGTGTCAAAAAACATGACCTTTTACTTTATTTAGTAGCCCAACACGCTGTCATCCCAAAACGTTGGCCACCCAACCCGTCGGAAACATTGGAAAACAATATCTAATACCAGGAGCGTCATTCTATTGAATTCCATCCACACTCCGGCGCGTATCATAGGGACCTTTTGGGTTACTATGAGATGCCTCAGGACGTGACAAATTGTCGGTATGTTACGCATTGGGAATGAGAGCGTGTAGCTTGTGCTCTGAAAGTTGCAGCTGAACTTTCCTCCACACTGACTAGAAGAAATCTTAGTCTTTTCCACTATTGAAAACATGAAGTGCTGAGTTTGGGTCAGAAGGTTAACATGACCAGTCCAAAGCCTCTTAAGCTTTAATTACTCTTGAACCATTCTGACCTTTTCTGTCTTCAATTCAATTCAATTTTATTTATATAGCGCCAAATCACAACAAAAGTCGCCTCAAGGCGCTTTATATTGTACAGGAGATACAGAGAAAAACCCAACAATCATATGACCCCCTATGAGCACTTTGGCAACAGTGGGAAGAAAAAACTCCCTTTTAACAGGAAGAAACCTCCGGCAGAACCAGGCTCAGGGAGGGGCCGGGCCATCTGCTTGACAATTCACTGTTAGAATTCACAGGCCCAAACATAGCTACTACCACCACCGTCTTTCATGCGATTCCTACGCTGGAATGCTGTGTTTTCCTTCCTCGTAACAAAATGCTTCTCATTTAAGCCACAAAGTTGTATTTTGGTTTCCACCCATCCACATATTGTTTAAGCAGTTTCTGAACTATTCATGTGACCTGTAGCAAGCTGCAAATGTCCTTTTTCACAGAATTGTGGCATTCACCTTTCAGCCCTCTCATACACACGATTGTTGTGTAGCGCTCTCCTAACGGTGGACCTATACACATGAACATCGATCAGTATGAAAGGCCCCTTTAAACACTTACAGATCACCCATAGTGACCTCACAGACCGCTACAGACCGTGTTCTTCGGGTGTTTTTTATGCACTGATCAGAATGTCTTGAATTTGCTCCATTTGTACAAAATCTATCCAGCTGTGGATTTGTGGTGTCCAAGCTATATAGATATGGAGATATGGTTCAGTGCTGAGTCGAGCAAAGTCTCATTTTTTTACGCAGTGTTTCACTTCCATAAACCTGTGCTGTAAATGTCACAGCTGATTGTCAAACCTTTAAATGAAAACAATTGATTTTAATTTCAAATTGAAACTAACCACTAATCCACATACATTTCCACCCAACAGATAAATCATATTTTCCTCAATAAATAAATTGCCAAGTCCAATATA